TCCTAACATAAAGCCAGAGATGATGACATCCACTATTCAAAAACTCCCTGAAATCTCTCCATAAAACCCTCTTCATTCACTTGCTCATTCAACAAAGATGTTAATTAATCATTTGCAACATCTGACATTTAACCAAAGATTCTGAAGAGTCCAAGAGAAATGTAGTCCAATTTTTCCTCTATTTCAGTCACTACTAATCAGCGTCTATCAGACTGCCAGTATGGCTTCTTGCATTATTAGAAAATTCTCCAGGAGTCAAATACTAATGATTCTCACTTTCAAACCAGTGTAACCTTTCACAAAGGACAGGGTCACCAGGTCACTTGAATAAACATAAAGTAACGCAAGACAAACAAACAAAAAACGATTCCACAGTTTTTCTATACTATTTCTTGTTACAGCTCTTAAATGGTCTCAGGAAAAATGCAGAACATGGGAAGGCACAGGCCATAAAATATTGGCATTTTCAAATAAAGCTTTTGAGAGTGTTCTATTCTAAAACTATATAGAGCAGTATTACTCAGGAACAAACGTTTAGTGAAAGGATAAGGAATGGACACGATGGGAGGAAAAACAAATATTAATACTCTGAAGAGAGTCATGCTAACCAGTAAAAATGCAAAGATTGGAGAAATAAAACCACATTTATTTAACGTTATTATAAACATTGCCCCCAACAAGCTTCCCTATTCACCTCATCCATTCACCTCCATTCCAACATACCATCTACATATATATATGTACTATTTTTTAATTAATAGACCCATTCTCTAAATATTACTGCATACCATGTTTTTGTTTTTTATCATATACTTTGGAGATCTTTCCATAAAGGCATATATACATACACACACACACACATATATATACATAAACCTACCTTACTCTATTTAAAACCTACATAATAGAGAAAAACTGTGGCTATAGTATGGATATACCATAATTCAAACAATCTTTTACTGATAAATATTTAGGGCATTTCCAGTATTTTGCCAAAACTGATAAGACGCTGATTAGTAGTGACTGAAATAGAGGAAAAATTGGACTACATTTCTCTTGGACTCTTCAGAATCTTTGGTTAAATGTCAGATGCTGCAAATGATTAATTAACATCTTTGTTGAATGAGCAAGTGAATGAAGAGGGTTTTATGGAGAGATTTCAGGGAGTTTTTTTCATAGTCCTTGGCCTCTACTCAGATTAATAGCATACACGAAAATGTGATTTCTCAGAAATCCACATATTGCAGATTATTAAAATCTAACTATATTGTACACCCGAAACTAATATAACACTATGTTAACCAAAAGAAAAAAAAATCTAACCTATGTATTTTGATTTTTTTTGTGTTTACTGAACTTAATTAATGAAAGAGACATAATATACCTTGTAACATAGTTTTCTTTTCATATTTAGGAACTAACAAAAAGTTTTCAGACCTCCGGTATCTCCAAAGGCCTGGGAGAAACTTAAGCATGGTGCTTGGAGTCCTCAATGTATAAAACACCTCAAGCAGTAATTAAAAGAACAACGAAAACTAATAACAATAGAACTTGCTATGTGCCAGGGACTATCCTAAGTATTCTACATTTATTCATGTATGTAAGCTTTACAACAACATTATGAGTTGGGTGCCATTATTATTACCAATTTATATTTGAGGAAAATGACACTAAAGGGACTAAGTAATCTGTCCAGTTTCACAGAGGTAATAAGCCATACTGTCAGGATTCAGAACCAGGCAACCCACCATGTTACGCTTGTACAGCTTGTACATATATATCTTTGCTTACCTATAGGCTAAAGTTCTAGAAATAAAAGTTCTAATTCAAAGTGTATGAGCAGGGGATCCCTGGGTGGCTCAGCGGTTTGGCACCTGCCTTTGGCCCAGGGCGCGATCCTGGAGTCCCGGGATCGAGTCCCATATCGGGCTCCTGGCATGGAGCCCGCTTCTCCCTCCTCCTGTGTGTCTGCCTCTCTCTCAATCTCTGGGTCTATCATGAATAAATAAATAAATAAATAAATCTTTAAAAACAAACAAAACAAAACAAAGCATATGAGCATGTTGAATTCTGATGTATGTTGCAAAACTGTCCTTCAAAAAGCTCACACTTATTTACCTTTCTGCCAAGACTTTTATAAGAGGGCTTATTTCTCTGTAACCTCCATAACAGTGTGTATTATCAAGCTATTTCTTGCCAATCTGGTAGGTGGAATAGCTTCTTTTTAAAAAATGAATATTTCTTTGTCATAGGACTATTGGTCATTCATATTAATTTTTGCAAAGCTATCTGTTCATTTGCTTCATTCATTTCTACTGGACATAATATTCCAACACATTCAACAACAAAATTAATAAATTAATGCCTCAAGAAAGAAATTAGTTGAACTTTAAAGCACAATTATTATGGTAAAAAGAAAGACTTTGCATCATATTAAATATATGTGTGTGTGTGTGTGTATATATATAAACACAAATTTTTAAATGGAATTACCTTAGATTATTTTACCAGTGCCAATGAACACTTTGAATAACTCATTTCTGGAATAAAATTCTTGAAGACAAACTGTTCTTTAAAACTTCTATCCTGATTTAGACACTGTTCAATGAAATGTAGCTAAAGTTTTGCCTCAGTAAGATATAAGCAATTAAATCTTCTATCACATTATCAAAGATTTATTACCTTAATTTATTATATTTTTGTTCATTGCTTCATCACCATAATTAGGAAATAATGATTTATGCGCATAACTAGTTTTGTTCTCATTATACGCTGGAAAGCAATAAAACAAATTATTCTTTGGTCACAAAATCTCTTATTTTACATAAGCTTATAACAGGTAGTTATTTTTAATTTTACCATATTATACTCCAGTATCTCTATGCTCATTCTTTCTTGGTGTTTATTAAAATAAATTTTAATAATTTATTAAATTTAGCATAAACACCTTAAAGGTATTAGCCCTCCCCTTGCAACTTTAAATATACAGTAAATATATTTTGATGAATAAATGAATACATTACTTGGGAACAGTACAATGATTTTTAAGAAAACAGGAGTAATTTATGTTACATTCCTTCACAAAGCAGGACAGGAATCAAAAAATGAAATTTCTCACTGCACACGAATTGAGAAACTATTTTGTGCCATGAATCCAACTCTATTGTTTGGAGCAGAGTTTCTCAACCTTGGCACTAGGAACATTTTCACCAGATAATTCTTTGTTGTACGTGGCTGTCCTATGCACTATAGGATATTTAGCACAAAACATGGCCTCTACCCACTACTTACCAGCACTACCTTCCCACCTGACAAAAATGTCTCCAGATATTAACAAATGTTCCCTGGGGGAAAAAAAAGTCACCTAGGGTGAAGACCACTGGTTTTAAGACAGCTAACATTACAAGAGTATACCTAAAACCAAAGTGGGACTTTAGCGAAGGACTTTGAAACCTGGAAACAGCTTCAAGAATCCCACTATGACTCCTAGAGAAATTCCTCCCTGATGCAGTGTACTCTCACCCCTCCCTTCCACTCATCAACAGTCAATCCATCATAACTTTGAAGCCTTCATTTGCTCAGGTGATTCGACAAGCATCTGTTAGTTTTTCCAATCTCACCTGCCCAACTGTAAAGTTATTAAACCCCTTTCCAAGAGTTAGTCCCAGGATCCTACCACTCAGTAAATTATCTGTAACACTATGATTATTACCGAACAATAGAAAGGAGATTGTTTAATTTTATCAGGTGGGGCCTTTCAGCTGAGTCTTTTGAGGTAAAGCGCCAACAAGTCAGATGATATTATGTCCAATATGGAAGATAAAATGAGTCCATAATCATTCCTAGCTGTGGTTCTGACCCAGAAGACAAATACCTATAGTGCTTAATAATATAAGTTTGTGTTGCTGCTAAAAAAAAAAAAAAAATCAAGGGAGGAGTTAAATATTTAAAAGCAGAGTGCCGGGACGCCTGGGCACAGGCTCAGCGGTTGAGCATCTGCCTTAGGCCCAGGGCATGATCCTGGAGTCCCAGGATTGAGTCCCGCATCGGGCTCCCTGCATGGAGTCTTCTCCCTCTGCCTGTGTCTCTGCCTCTCTCTTGGAGTCTCTCATGAATGAATAAATAAAATCTCAAAAAAAAAAAAAAAAAAGAATGGTTTAACTATGTTTTCTATGTTTAAAAATATACTATTGGGATGCCTGGATGGCTCAGCCTTTGAGCATCTGCCTCGGGCTTGGGTCCTGATCCCGAAATCCGAGATCAAGTCCCACACTGGGCTCCATGTGGGGAGCCTGCTTGTGTCTCTGCCTGTGTCTCTGCTGCTCTCTGTGTCTCTCATGAATAAATAAATAATCTTTAAATAAAATAAATTAAATAAATAAATACTATTGATAGACTCTAATATTTGAAAAGGAGTAAAAACACATTAATATTTCTCAAAACTCCTTTAAAATATTAGGCAACAATAATAAGGTGAAGAATGAATTTATTTTAAAGCCTCTATTAGAAGACATCCTGCTTAAGGAGAAAAGAACCCAATTAAAAGTCAAATTGTTGTAGTCAACACTAATGACACCTGAGTCTCTTCTTTAACATTCAGGGTTCTCATTTCCAAAATGGTTCTGCCAAGAAGTTCTGAGTATTTAATGGGATATAAATAAATAAACAAATAAATAAGTTTTGAAAAGAATGAACCATTATTCCAATAAAAGATATTAGCAATAACTAGGCAAATGCATATAACATCACACAGTATTTTGATTTTCAGAATTACCAAAATTAGTGATCACAATGAATAAAGCTAACATATTTCTCAAAACATTTCTTTCTGACCAAAAAACAACCAGTTCATTTTTATTTTTTTAAATTTATTTTTATTTTTTTTTACCAGTTCACTTTTAATTTACTTTTCATTACTTGTAAAAAATAAAGATTGGAAGTTTGAATCTGATAAATAATAACTGTAATATTTAAACTGTTCAGATTTTCTAAATACTTACATTACTTGCAAACTTTCTGCTGTTAAATTATTCCACATAATTTCATTTGCCTGAAGATTTTCATTTTCTTCTAGTAAGGAAGTATCAAACTCAATTTCTTGCTCTTTAGCAGCCGTTGTTCTAATAAAGCATGCCAAATAATTTTGATCAATATGAACATACTATTATAATATATCTTAGCGCACACGAAAGGCAGAATATTTATTATCCAAAATTATGTTTACAAAAGACAGTAAATACAAATAGAATAAATCAAATTAAACCCCTGGCACCAAGATCTAGTCACATAACTTAAACCTTAATTTTATTTGTAGAATATGGATATTAACCTGTTTTGTTTCCTATCACACAGTGGTAATAAGTGTGCCGGGATAAACGACTGATGCATCATAAATTTAATACACATATAAAATCATAGTATTGTCATAAAAATGTTAAAAAATATGACTTCATGGATTAAATATAGGTGTAAGAAATGATATAGTAACAATGATAAATTTTTAAAGATAACTACATAAATTAGTTATCATTGAAAAAGAACTTTAAAAATAATTAAAAGCAGACAAATTAATCAGTAATATCATATGTCCTAACAAACTCTTTAATATCTTATTTTAATTTAGTTAAATATTAATAGAGTAGAAAAAAGTAATACTGTCACAAATACTGAAAGAAGAATGAAAATATTATACATACCTGTGAACATCTATGAAATTATTATATTCTGTGCTAGGGTCTATCTGTTCAACTGACATTTGAATCTCTTTATGGACATTCACTATTTCCTCTGTAACGAGACTGGTTATCTGGCTGTATTCATCAAATATACCTTTTCTGAAAACAAAAACAAAATTTTACAACATTTTTTAGTATTCAAGGAAAACACAGGCCCAGAAAGGATTCAGAACATACGAAATGTCATACCAATATTTACAGATGGTGATTTCATGCACCACCTTACTTCATATACCTGGATAGTAAAGGGATTACACAAATGCACGTGTTAACAATTTACATCTGATAGAATCATTGCAAGTGATCTAGAATATGACATTATCTTCTCCACATGTATCTGACGGGTCCAAAATGTTGGATCAGGTTGGTCACTTTCTATTTCTTTTTTTTTTTAAGATTTTATTTATTTATTCATAGACAGAGAGAGAGAGAGAGAGAGAGAGAGAGAGAGAGAGAGACAGGCAGAGGGAGAGGGAGAAGCAGGCTCCATGCAGGGAGTCTGACACGGGACTCAATCCCAGGCCTCCAGGATCACACCCCAGGCTGCAGGCAGCGCCAAACCGCTGTGCCACCGGGGCTGCCCTGTCACTTTCTATTTCTAAATACTGGCATAGAAATGTTAATTCCATCACCCGAAACTGTGGATTGGCTCCAGTCTCTTTGGGGTTTCTCTCCTGTGGCTGCTAGTGCCTCAAAAGCCCTACCTCTGGTTTTTCTCTTCTTCTTGGGCCTCGGCTCTTTTCTGTACACTTAATTATAGAGTTCAACTGGTTGTGTACCTTCGATGACATCTAGATCTCTTCTCCTGACCTCCAGTCAGCAGGAAAAATGTCATCATAAAAGTATTAGCTTTACCAGTGAATACAAAACGAAAAACTATCCTGTAGCGAAGACCCGATCTCCCTTGTAAGAATGCTATGCTATAAAGATATGCCATTGGTCAAGAGTGCCCTCTACAAGTGTGGACAGACAAGCTTATCCTGCCTTTCCCCAAATAAATATAAGGAATAGTTTGCCTTTCTTTTTCAAAATCATCAGTCATAAAAATTTATTACTTACAAAATCTCTCTTATTTAGTATTTTCCCAATAGCCAAATACTGTTTGGGTTAAAAAAAAAAATTTAAACTACTTCAGGCAATGTTAGTTTGAAATGATTACAGAAATCACCTGACAAAATTTGAAGAAAAGGGGAAGACAGAGAAATTTAAAACCAATTTAGCAAATATCCCTGGGGTTTTGACCACAGAGGTAAAAGTGCTGAATGATATTAATGTAAATAACTCCATCTAGATAACCCTCATAAAGCAATGCCATAATGTGATGTAGAGACGATTATTATCCACCTTTAAGACAGATGGAATTTTAAAAAAGGAATTCTCCTAATGCTGTTGTATAAATGTGACATGGAATTCAATTTCAGTGAAATCATCATGCTTGGATATTTTAAATGCTAGATCTAAAATAATTCATTGTGAAAGATAATATGCTATAGAAAACTACCATGTCTCAAAAAGACATCTATTGATGATTAATATGCCCTTGTTGATGATTCATGTGAAGAGTTTGAAAAAATACTCATGAAATCAGAGTAGGGAAGGAAGTATTTCTGAATCAACAATATATAATTTAAAGTAGACATAACTATGGGGCTCCTATGTGACTCAGACTGTTAAGCATCTGACTTGATTTCAACTCAGGTCATGATCTCAGGGTCGTGAGATGGAGCTCTCATCTGCGCCTCCCCCCCTCCCATCATGTACTTGCACACTCTCTCTCTAAATAAACTTTTAAAAATTAAAAAAATAAAGTACACATAACTAAATGCATAGATTAAATATTTTAAGGAGATATTTTACTATTTTATCACTACCATTAAAAGTTTACATATTCAAGTCAACTAAAAACACTTTTCCATCTTTTTTTTTTTTTTTTTACTTTTTCATCTTTTTACTGAGAAAATGGGAGATCAACTAAACCATCTAACAAGGCAGATGAAGTCTACCGAAGGGTGGCTTATCCTTTTGTTGTCTTGTATTGATACCTCCGGTTAACGTGTACTTTTGATGTATTGCCCAAAGTATATTGTTAGCTCCTTGAAGGCAAAAATCATGGCCAAATCACAGACTGTGTTTTGCATACTGTAGAATGTCAATAAACATTTGTTGATTTTACTCTCACACAATAAGCTGGCAAAGAAAACTTCAAAAAATTCTTTTCTTTAATGGAACTAGAGGGCATAAGGGTAAGTGTTTAAGTCTGTCAGAGAAAGACAAATACCCTATGTTTTCACTCACGTATGGAATTCAAGAAACAACAAATACAATGAGCAATGAGGAAAAAGAGGGAGAGAGAGAGAGAGAAACCAAGAAAGAGAGACTCTAATTTAGAGAACAAACTGATGGTTACAGGAGGGGAGATGGGAGGGGTGACAGATGAAATAGATAAATGGGATCAACAGTACACTTATCATGATGAGCACAGAGTAATGTATAGAATTGCTGAGTCACAACATTGTGCACCTGAAACTAACATCACACTGTATGTTAACTTAGACTGGAATTAAAATTTAAAACTTTAAAAAATTATTTCCTTTGGACTTCTTAGTTGCTCAATACTTAAACACTCAACCCTCTGAAAATAGATATTCACTTAACACCTGTCAATTAATGATTTTTTTTTTTTTACCTAAATTTCCAGCTAATGGGAGTAGAACAAAAACATACAAAAAGAAGGACCATTCTTAGGGCTAGCTAGAAGGTCTAAGAGATGATAATAAAATGAATGTATACCAGAAGTGAAAATCAAGAAGGACCAAGGTAAAACAGATCTGAAAAACACATTGGGCTGGGTCAATAATGAAGCTCACAAAACACAGACAACTCTTATCCGAAAGCTTACCCAGGAAAGAGAATAACATTAAAATCATTTCAGGAAGGGGATTTTATGCCAAATAGGAAATGTATCTTACAGTGCTTTTATCATTTCTTCTTGCATCTTCTGAAGAGAGTCCAGAAGCAAAGGAAGTGTGGTGTCATAATACTGATTCTGATGAAGCTGTGCCCCTTTCAGTGCCAATACATACTGATTATGCAATACATGAAGTTTCATTGTCGCTTTGTCATATCGTTCCTTGGCCTTTTCGGTTTCTTTCCCTGGAGAAGACATTGAAGAAAGTTAATGAAGAGATAAAGAGGCTTTATCCTCCCTATATGCAACCTGAGTGACTACTATTTTATATTTTACACATTTTATGAAGAATCAACAAAATTTTATTACACATAAATGATATGCTCAGCTTTATGCAAAGTACCACTTATTTGCCAGTCCTGTGCACACAGGCTGCTATGAAGGAGGCATATATTACAGTAAATATTTGATAGTTAATTAATACTTTTGTAATAAAATTTTACAGAAAAATGATTCTTATCTTTAAGAAGCTCACACCAAACTGGACAACAATGTACATGAAACTGTGTAACTAAGAAAACATGAAAACTTGTAAATAATGTTAAATTTTGAGGCCTGTATTTGAGGTATCAATAAAGACCACGGGAGCCAGAGGAGGCTTTGTAGAAAAACCAAACATGGGGTATGTACAGGAAGGTAAAAGAAAGACAGAATGGACAATAATCCCTCCCCCTCACCCTCTCTTTCTGCCTTTCTGCCTTTGATTCGATGAATAGTATTAACTCATCACCACCAGGAACTGTGCTAAACATTAGGAATTCAGTACCTAGCAAAACCAAGTCCTCGATAGAGCCCCTGGTCTGGTAAATTGGAACATTGAGTGAAAATATGGAGATAATAAACAAAATTCCATATGCAAGCAAAGAAATAAGCTCAAAGAGAGTAAGTTTTAAGGAAGTGAAAGAACTGTGTCTGTAGAGGCAGGGCAATTTTAGGTTGTAAATGACTTGAAAATCAAGCAGAGAATTTAAATTTGACATGGGAGATGTCCAGGAGATACTGACAATACTATGAACTAAAATTTTGTGTGTACCTCCACTAAAATCATTCAGAAAATATTTACAGATTAACAATATAAATGACTATATAAATAAAATTTTTAAGCAGATCTTCAATTTTCAGTGCCAACTGAATATTTCTTGTCAATTATTTGGATCTAAGGAATAAACTTTTCAAAATATTTATTAATTTTTGCCCTCTTTTCCAAGGAGAATCCTCTCTCTAAAAGTAGATCTATGTTGAGAATTTTTGATGCCACAGGCTCTTATCTGCTGCCCCTCGTCTCAATATTCCTGATAGGTAGGAGTTGGAAAAGCATTCCCTGTTGGAGAATGTCTCTAGCTCAGATCCAAAAGTAGAGAAAAAGTCAGTGTTTTTGTGGAGAGAGGAAACCTCAGACCCTCCAAAGTGCACAGACAGGCAGGGCAGCAGAATGAGAACAGTTCCCTTGCCTTTCTCATCTCCCCTCCAATTCTCAAGCAGAGGAACCACATCTAGCTGGTGGAAAAGGAAATCTTTCCAGCATGCTGGAAGCTGGAAATTCTACTGGTTCCAAATACTATAACTACCACTGAATTCTTGCACGCGATTATTTCACGGAGCTTAATTCTCTAGCCATTCCTGCACATAGGGATACTATTAAGTACCCAAGTCATTTGAAATTGCTACCCTAGATAATTTATTTTGCTTTATAAAATAAATAACTTCTCAAGGAGAAAATATTTGAATCACCAGAGTATCTTTCCTAGCCCTTCTCACTGCTGTTTGGAAACAGGTTCTAACACCAGACTGAGGGGATGGGAGTAAATATATTTATTCAGTTCTGATCTGAAAGGACCAGAAAAAAAATAACATGAGCCACTAAAGAAGATTTTTCTCACTTTTTGACTACAAATCACTAGATAATATATATTACGTCATGAGCCAAAGTCATATACATTTTTAAATATGTAATTGAAATAAATTCATGACATAACTCTTCCCCTTACTATGAAGGATGCTCTGTGATTTTTTAAAAATTCTATTTGAATTTTTCATTTTTTTTAAATCTTCACTGAAAAAAACAATAAATTTTTTGCCTCAGTTAATATAAATCCCTAGAGAAATTTTCCCTCACACTGTATGGCATTAGAGATAATCTTTTTAACTTCACAATTAACAAATCACTTCAATAATACTAATCATGAATGATTTTTAAGATTCTCAGAAATACATTCTCCTACATGTTCAATCACCATGATAGCTTTTTTTTTTTTTTTTTTTTTCATAAGAATACTATCCATATTGCTGGGCAGCACCAGTGGCTCAGGAGGTTTAGCACCATCTCCAGCCCGGGGTGTGATCCTGGAGACCCGGGATCAAGTCCCACATCAGGCTCCCTGCATGGAGCCTGCTTCTCCCTCTGCCTGTGTCTCTGCCTCTCTCTCTCTCTCTCTCTCTCTCTCTCTCTCTCTCTCTCTCTCTCTCTCTCTGTGTCTCTCATGAATAAATAAATAAAATCTTAAAAAAAAAAAAAAAGAATACTATCCACCATATTGCTACTTGGCATCCTTCTTCCAAAAATAAATTTCAAAAAATGTCCCCAAGAGTCAATGCAATGATGCATCTATGGCCAGCCACTAAAGCAACAACCATTTTTTCTCCCTATCCACATAAGTCCGGATGAGACTCCTATATGAAGCTAATATCCAAGAGCCAAAGTGCATACCCAACCAAATCGGAATGAATTTTCTTGGCTGGGAGCTACGTCACATTAATGTCTGAATCAGAGCAAAAAGTCCACAAACACCTGCTGCAGAAGCTGCCAAAGAGAGCCCTTTCTAAGGCCCTTGCTTTTGTGTTCTTTTTAAAATTTCATTTATCATTTTAAAGCTAGTTTATAGATACATTACTTAAAATTCAGCAAAAGTTTTTTCTTTAATTCAGCAAATTCTAACAAGAGTTCAAAAAGTCATATACAATTACACAGATAAATTGATTCCAAATAGTAAAGTTTTCAAGGGTCTACATTGATAATAAGAAAATAAGGCAAGCATTTACCAAGCAAGAACATTTAAGTACTGTATTCTAATTTGTTAATTTTTACTGTAAACTCAAAAAGGATTAACTATAGTAAATTCAATTAATTCCATATTTAATGTCTTTTTTAAAAATATTACGTTTTATATGAATTCTATTATTCCTAATTAGTTACTTGGGTTTTTTAGTATAACTTCAGGAGTCAAGCTCTGCATACAAACATTTTCATAGAGACATTTAAACCACCCATCTGTCCTCCTATTTGCACAGATTTTTAAACTGCACACTGCCCATCTGTCTAACTAGTGAAAAATGATGCATTAAATATGCAATACTCAGCTAAGATTTTGTAATCTAAAATAACATTTAAAAAGTTAAGAATTTCTGATTTCTCTTTATCATATCTAAAATACGATAAACGATCTGAAAAAGACTGTTACAACCAAACCTAATTATCAATAGCTTAACAGCAGTCATTAACATGATTTAGAAAAAATTAAGTGCCTTTGAAAACATCCAAGGTAAAATTCATTACATTAAAATGCTACTGTTACTAATAAAGTCTTTAAAAAGAGCTTTGGGTTTAAAACTGAATTTAGGGGTATGTCTAAGTAGGTTTTTGGTTTGTTTGCTTTTGTACTCTTTAGCTAGCTCACATACACTTATGCGTTTGGTTATGTGGTGTACCTGTGCATGAACATGATCGATTAACCTATCTATATCTCCCTCCCATGCTCCCTCTCCTGTAAAAACGAACAAAAAGTTTCAAAAACATGCTTATTTGCCATGATTTTAAACAGGATTCTATTATATTTTTTCCTGATTTGCTTTAATATAATTACTTAGGTCCCATAGAAACTATATAAGAAAATTCAAGAAATAGTAATACTCTGTGAAAACCAAAGTTCCAAATAAATTTTTTTCAATTCCATTCACTTACTAAAATGTGTTACAAAAAACTACCTAACACGATTCTTGCCACATAGCATCTTGGTGCAGAATATTTCACATCAGTATTACTCTTTCTTAACTTTTAAAAAACTACATTCGAGCTTAAAATTAATGGGAAGTGTGCAGAGCAAGTAACTTTTTATTGACAGACACTGAATCATACCTCTGTTGCCATATGATGCTTTAAAAAAAAAAATGATGAGAGGCACTGAGGCAGGGCATGAAGTTGTCCTATATGTCAATTAACAGGGAGGATAAAGTCCAATTTTCCTCCTCCACATAATGAATTTCACAAAGAGACTGAATTATAATTCTTTTGCCACCACTTGTTGACAAATCTGTTTAATGTTTGTAATAACAGAGTGTATATACAACATGTCATGCCATAAACAATGTTATGAAGCTAGCTAAACTCAATTATGCAAGTTTGACATTTACAAGAGACAGGCAAGACTACTCATTAAACTAGTCTAGAAAGTCAAGTATTTTTTATTATAAACTTCAGAAGTGTTTACCATTTGTTAAATATTATGATGGAAAGCCTCCTGATAATAAATGAGAAGTGATTATTTTCGAAAAGCAAATGCCTGCAAGTAGACTCTGCTTTCATTTGGGTTACTAAACAGTCTACCACCTTACATTTTTCCTTCCTTTCAAAACATCCCTCCTCAACTATACAATTTCTGCTTACTACTCTGAATATGAAAACAATGAACAAGAATTAATCCTAACTTATGAGTGATGGGGCAAATGCCCACATACGTTTTTTCACATGGAAGTTAAAATTCAAGTATGACACGTGGGAACAATCAATGAGCTACCCATTTTACTCAATGCTATTCAGACAAAAGAAAGTCAAGAAGTCAGTTTTTCTCTCAGCTCCTTTGATTAGCGGTGCAACCCAAGCAAGTCTTATAATTAAATTTTAGCTTCTAATTTCCCGTCCCGGGAGTTAAATAATCTGCCCTTAACAATTCATTGGGTTATGATGGAGACTGAATGGCAAATCGTCAAAATACAACACCAAAGGCACAGAATTTGGAGATGGTAAAAAAATCTTTGGATCAGATAGTCCTATAAAGCACTAAAAAATACTATAAGTATATCCACACTGTGCTACTTTTAATAAATTTCCCGGTATAAGAACAATTGATATATCAGTCCAGAAATATTTACTAGACATGTGTTAGGGCTCTAAACTGTTTAAGTAACTAAA